TTTTTTTTTTTTTTTAAGCTGGGTAGAAAATCAAAGAAGGAAATACAGGATTAAACATTTGTCTCCGCTGTCCTATTTACCACTCTATTCTTGATGGAGGTAGAATTTGGGAACAGTTCTATGTTGCATTTATTGTAGAAAGCATTAGGTAAATGAATTAATGAGAAAAAGTATTTTTTCTCCTTGACTTTCTTGAATTTCATAGCTCTACATGCAACTTTACCAATACATGAACGATACTACAAAATATTATGCAATTAATATTGAAATCAAAATAGAAATTGGCTGCCATAACAGAAAAAAAACTACTGCTTAATGGAGGTAGACTATTATAATTTCAAAATTGTGTTATATTTCAAAACCTTCAGAATAAGAGCTGTCCAGTGAGTTACTTTGGATATAGTTGCTGTAGTTTGAGAAATGTGCAGCTCTTCCAAGATCAATGCTTATTGATTACATAGTGATGTATTATAATTATTCTTTTATGTAATGATTTATTTGTTAATGTTTCAAATTTTTAGCTGCTGCTTTGGGAAATCTTGTGTCAGATTTAGCTGGACTTGGGTAGGTTCATTCACTTCTTCACTTGTCTTCTGTACTTGCTGTCTTTCTATTCCCTACTCTAATTGAGAAGCATAAAAAAGGGATATTTAATTTTTCTTTGTGTTCTAGAACTAACATTTCAAATTTACTTTTTCTAAACTAATAATACTAAATCTTTGGTGTCCATCAAATGTAGATGCCTGGGTAATATCCCAGTTATACATTATTAGTATCTCTGGAGAGGGAGCCCTAGCATTTGTGTTTGGTAATTTTCATGAGTGATTCTGATGTATGTAAAAGTTTATTCTAAATCTACTGTAATATAAGCAAAATGGAACTTGTGTTTACTGAAGTATTTATATGTATTTTTTAAAGATCTCCAAGGGTAAGACAGGATTAAAAGCAAGAACCTTTCTCATTATTCCACCTCACCCTACTCCTACACAACCAAAGAGAAGGGATATGGCTTAAATTTGAGGATAGCAACTAGACTTATTTTCCAAAAGGGGATTTTTCAAAGGAAGTAATAATGGCCAAAGCATATATGGGCTTGGCTGTTTTTTGCTCTTTTTACTTAATGTGGCAGGACTAATGAAACAAAATGAGGACATCTACTTAGAAAAGGCCAGCTTTCTCTCTTTACATTCTTTTTTTTTTCTTTTTTTGAGTCGGAGTTTTGCTCTTGTTACCCAGGCTGGAGTGCAATGGCACGATCTCGGCTCACCGCAACCTCCGCCTCCTGGGTTCAGGCAATTCTCCTGCCTCAGCCTCCTTAGTAGCTGGGATTACAGGCATGCGCCACCATGCCCAGCTGAATTTTTGTATTTTTAGTAGAGACGGGGTTTCACCATTTTGACCAGGATGGTCTCGATCTCTTGACCTCGTGATCCACCCGCCTCGGCCTCCCAAAGTGCTGGGATTACAGGCGTGAGCCACCGCGCCCAGCCTCTCTCTTTACATTCTTGTTCCAAGTGGCAGATGGCCTGAGCTGCTTCCTGAGCTTGGGGAAGGCTGGGGGAGTATAAATTAGACTAAGTGGACATTATTATGATAAATATGCTCTTTCTTGCTCTTTGACTTTGTTTCTTCTTTCCCTGGCTCAATTGAGTGTTAGAAGTTTAGAGTTCAATTTTTTTCTTAGTAGAAGTTTACTTAGCCCTATAATCTAGGCAAAGCAGCTTTATAAGTGATCTAACCGTAACCTTTTATGTTAGACTTTTGCACTGGAGTTTGAGGGCAAAGCCACAGTTAAAAACGAAGTTTCTTTGCTTTAGGACCATGGCAAGAGTTTTATATTCTTGGAATTCCTGGCATAAATATATCATGACATCACCTCTTAAACTTCCCAGTTTTCAACATTAAAGTAAATAATGAGAATATTATAGTCATTGTATAGCTTTCTGATATATTTAATAGAACCAAATGATCTAAGAATTTTAAAGCCATTTAGTTGTATATTGCATCATAAAACAATTATTTTTGTTTAGAGATGAAGATTTTTCTGGGAGTCTTTGTATTTAAAAACTGTTTCTCTTCTCTTTTTGGGGGGTATCATTAAATAACAAATGTCACATTTTATGCATTCTCAGAAGCATATTCTTAACATGTTTGATATCAGGATCCATCTTATTGTTGGTAGTGTGCATAGTTTAATTGGCAATTTTTTTCTTTCTTACAGTTCATAAAGTAAGAGTGTATCCAATAAATGATGGCAACTTAGAATTGATAAAATACTTGAGAATGGCCTGAAAGTTCTAGGGTATTTTTATTAGTTTACCAATCTGAGGAATTTTGGAAACTTTTGCTGTCTGATAAGTTACTAGTTTGTATCATATGTTAAAGTGCTTTGCTTTGCGTTTGAAATAATTGCAGAAATTCTAATTATCTGTATAAAATTGTTATATACCTTGAATTGTTTTTAAAAATAATACTAGAGAATAATTGCTCTAAGTCAATTAATTTTCCTTTGTGTTAAATATTAATAAAAATATTTTTTAAACAATATATTTACATAACAATAAAAATGGAAAGTTGTAAAGACTATTTATGGCATTTCTAGAGTACCAAGCACAAATGTAAAATTATCTTGTTTCTCCTTGTAGTAATTAGTTTTTTACTATATGAGGATATTTGCATGTCTTTTTAAAAACTTATATTCTGTCCTCATGCCTTTTTTTTTTTTTTTTTGCTTTTATAAAGGCTTAATTGAAACATAACTCATATACCATATTGTCTTGTTTCTTCAAAGACTTGCAGGCTATGTTGAAGCATTGGCTTCTAGGTTAGGCCTGTCAATTCCTGATCTCACACCAAAGCAAGTTGACATGTGGCAAACACGTCTTAGTACACATTTGGTAAGTAATTTACATGGTTTATGATAATGCATTGGGTAGCCAGAGCAAGATATATTATAGTTCAGGCCCTTGAGAATTTTGAGACTAAAATTGGTTTGAATGGAGTTTTTAACAAAAATTGTCCAGGCCTTGGCAGTTTTCAGAAGAACAGTAATTTATGTTATTAACTACTTATTTTTTGTAGGTATGCTTAATTTTTAAAAAATATTTATGCAATTCACTTAGTATTGAGGAGTATCTCTTAAAGGTTGGGGACTAAAGAACATAAAATGATTAATAAAGAAAATGAAAAATTATGGTCCTTGAAGAACTTGTTTAGGTGGAAAACTAAACATGTAAACAAATTATAATTTAGTATGACATGCAGTAATAGAATTATGTGTAAGTTATAACAATGATAGAGGCAAGGGAATTAACACTGTGGGGAGAAACTTCTTTTGGTGGGGAGATTTCTTGGTGATTATTAGATCTAAGCTGATTTTTGAATTATTGATGAGACATTTACTAGATGAATAAGAGGAATTCCAAGTATACTGACTAGCAAGTAGAAAAGCATGATAAAAAAGGGTATATTTAGGTAAATACAGGAACATATTTCAGGAATATAATATGTAGTAGCTGTAGGTACCAGCAGCAGCAAACAACATTGGAGAAGTAAGCATGGATCATTCAGGAAAGTCATTGTTTATGAATGCTAAGGAGCTTGAGCTTCTTACCTAAGTGATGGAGAGCCAGGGGAGTTTTAAATAAGAGGGAAACTGGATGGATCATGACCCCATCAATAAAATGAAGAAAAAAAGGAGGAGGAATAAGCTTGTAAGGGAAGGTAATCAGTTCTATTTTCGACACATTGAATTTGAGATACTAGTAGGACATTTGAGTGGTGACAACTTAGTAGGCATTTGGGTTAAAGTCAAGAGTTTAGATAGGTCCGAGTTAGTGATAATGGATATTGTCACTCATTCATTCAACAAATTCTTATTGTTTACATATTATATGCCAGGTAGAGATGTAGAAGTTTTGAATATATCGGTTAACAAAATAAGATCTTATTTCTGGTAGATCTTACATTCAAGCAGTGGGGAGACAGACAATAAACAATATGATAAATAAAAATATTTAGCATATTGGAAGTTTGTATGTGTTATGGGAATAAAAAGAGAAAGCAGAGGGAGGTAAAAGAGGCTAGGAGTGCTAGGATGGAAGCAGACTGCAATATTCAATAGGAGAGTCACTGTAGGCCTCACTGAAAAGGGAGGTGATAGTTAAAACCATGGAAGAAGATGAGATTTTATAGGAGAGTGGCTCTCAAAATATGGTGCCAACATCAGCAGGATCAGCACTACCTTAACTTCTTAGAAATGCAAACACTCAGTCTTCATCTTAGACCTGTCTATTGTTATGTAAAAATTATTGTAAGTTCAGCAGCTTCAAACGACATATATTTGTTATCTTTCGTTTTCTGTGGGTCAGATTAGGAATAGCTTAGAAGGGTCCTCTGGAAGGGTGTAATCATGTCCAGCTAGGACCTGGTTCCTGTCTAGAAGCTCAAGTGGTGATGGATCTACTGCCAGGCTTACCCAGGTTTTTGGCAAAGTTAATTCCCTTGTGGCTGTGAGGGACCCAACTTCTGGCTTACTGTTGCACTCTCATCTCCTAGAGGCCTCCCTCCATCTAGAGGAAGCTTGTGCAACCCACTTTTGGTAACCCAAAAGTTTACCACAAATTGGTAAACTTTTTAAAAACATTATGAGATTTTTCTGGTTTTTTTTTTTTTTTTTTTTTTTAGCTTTTCAGCTATCGTTAGTGTTAATGTATTTTATGTGTGGCCCAAGAAAATTCTTCTTTTCCAGTGTGACCCAGGGAAGCCAAAAGATTGGACACCCCGATCTATTGGTCACCTGCAGTTCCTTGTCATGTGGTCCTTTCTGTAGACCCTCTCACAACATGGCAGCCTGCATCTTCAGAGCCAGCAAGGCAGAAAGAGAATGAGTCTGCTAGGAAGATGGCAAGATGGAGCCCTATGTAATGTAATATAATCACAGGAGTAGCATCCCATCAACCTTTCCTATTATTCAAAGAAAGAGCATCCTACCCATGCTCAAGGGGAGGAGATTATGCAAAGACTTAAATACCAGAAGGAAGGAAGGTATGGGGGCCACCTTAAAATCTGTCTGCATGAAAAATTCCGGAGACAGAACCCAGCAATTTGTGTGTTAATTCTGCTGTACATTAAAGTTTGAGAACTGTTTTTCCAGAGAGAATGTGCAGAATTAAAGAACCCTAGAAAATACCTAAGAGCTCATGATCTTATGGGAGCTTTTAAGGAAGAAGTTTTAAGAAACAATGAATAGTAATCAATTCCTCTTGATGTAAAGAAATCAAGTAAGATTTCTGATAATTTTTGTTTGTTTGTATTTGGATTTGGTATGTGGTTGCTCATTGATAGTCGCTTCTGAGCAATTTCTGTGGACTGATGTAAGAAAAATCAAACGGCAATGGATTGAAACATTAATGGGAGGTGAAGAATAATAAAATATAAAATTAATGTATTTAAGTTAGATGGAATTTATTTTAATGAAAATATTAAATGTTTTGGAAGTAAACAATTTTTACACGCAAAATATTCATACATAGTATAAAAACATGCAAATAGGTAATATAGAATTAAATTCATTGCTAATCACTTTAAATCTGCAGTAATTACTACCCTTTAAAATATGAGTAGTAAAAGGATCACAACTACACCAGGGAAGTGTTTGGTTTTCAGTCAAAATGTAGGAAGAGTGTGGAGAAACTAAATGAGGACCTATTTGCTTGTTGTATTTTACTTTATAAAGGTTGAAAAGTCTCTTAAGAAAGTAGAATGTTAATTTTGGGCTTTTTCTTTTAGTTTACATGTGACCATATCTTGTAGTTTGTGAGTAAAGTGAGACTAGCCCCTGATACCAGCTGGAGTTTTGAGGGAATAATGATACTCTAATGTTCTAACAATTTGACTTAAAATTTTAGCATTAAAGTTGGGATTAGGAGAAGTTTATTTTCCTGGGGCATAATAATTGGCTTCTTTCTATATTAAAAGTAGGTTCACTTTGTCCTCCCTATGGCAGAAACATCTAAATTACTAAACTAACATTAATATATTGAGTGTGTGCATGTGTGTTTGTGTGTGTGTGTGTGTGTGTGTGTGTGCGCGCGCGTGTGCGCCTGTGTGTTATGATAAACCCCTCATCAGTATATGGCAACAGTGATTCTGTTCCTTAGTTGTTGACTCTGCTTGTTTTATATTAGAATCAAATCTTTTACCCTGTAACATAGCATTTTGATTCTATACAGCCTAAACTATTTGAAGCTAGTGATCAACCATCTACTCATAACATAAGCTAACTCGGAAATTTACCCATAATAGAATATATAGAAGTATACATGCAGGTTCCAATTGACATAGGTGTATTTTAAAACCTCACTTGTAATTTGGTTGTTGGAAAGTCAAAAAATATTTTCTTATAAAACAGTATTACAGATGGACTCAAGTTCTAGGATCAGCCCCAGTGTTGTTAACTATGGGACCTAGAGTATCATAAGACATAGTTACAGTGTTTAAATAACTGTTTTTTACACTGGAAAGATTTGTTTCAGGTCCTGGATCAGGGAGTAAGAAAAGTATATCACTTTTTTCCTTCCTCTCCACCCTATTGATGTTATATCTCTTGAGATAATTGTGTCAGAAATTGCTGACTGGTATTCCTAAAGTGAGGGGTAAGGAAAACCTTGGTTGCTGTGAACTATAGTAAACAGGAATTCTAATACAATGGGTGAGAAATGAAAGTGGGGCCTATTAGCAATGGTTATTTTATGTATATGAGAAAGTCAGGAGTCTAAAATAGAATATAATGATTCCTCTCTGCATATATTCAAATGAGTAAATATATGTTAAAGTCAAAAAACAAGAAGCTGGGATTAACTTTATCAGCATGTGGAATGAAGAAAATTTCTACTTGTTAAAACTCTGCATGAGTGATACCTTTTAAAGTTTTGGCATAATGAAAATAACAGTTTTGATTATTAATATCAAGCATTGGTTATACTACTGATACCACTACCACCACCAAAACCATCAAAATAACAGAGTTGAAAAATTTTTATGCAAGCTATTGTCAAAACATTAGTCTACTATTAAAATTTGTTAGAAAAACTGTAAGATATGATAGCTAAATAGACAATGTATAAGAGAAAACATTTCATTCATGGTTAAGTTTATGTAGCTATCATAGTATCTGTAATGTTTGATAGAACTTACTTTGTCTTTCTCTGTGTACCTAACTAGAAGTTCCTGAAGGAGAGAGACAGACTGCATAAGACTAGTTCATCTCTGTGGTACACCCAGTACAGAGTTTGACACATTGTAGCTTCTCAATAAATATTTGTATGAGGAAATGAAACTTAGTTGAAAAGTGTTTAAACTTGATAGTCATCATAGGAATGCAACTTTTGAAAACCATTTATAAAAATAAAAATTTTAAATTTTTATGATCTGGGTGTGGTAGCTCCTGCAGCGTGTAATCCCATTTGGGAGGCCAAGGTGGGAGGATCTCTTGAAGCCAGGAGTTCAAGATCAGCTTGGACAACATAGTGAGGACCAGCTCTATCAAAATAAATAAATAAATAAAAGTAAAAAAAATTAACTAGGCATAGTGGAATGTGTCTGTAGTTCTAGTTACTGGGGAGACTGAGTGAGGAAGATCACTTGAGCCAGAGTTCAAGGCTGCAGTGGGCTATGATCATGCCACTGCACTCCAGCTTAGGTGAGAGAGGGAGACCTCGTCTCTAAAAATAATAAAAATAAAACAAAATTTTTATAATGTAGGATAGGTTGCAGGAAAATTGGTATTTATGTATACATTTATATATACTGAAATTGGTATGTAAGTATGTGCCGCTTTGTCAAGGATGGACAGCATGACAATACTTCATGAAGATGCACAAAGATTAATTTTATTTGATTTTTACATAAATCACTGGGGAAGAACTATACATGGAAATGCTCATTGTTATTTCTCTTACAATGTTGAAGAAGTAACAGTGGCTATTACCATAAAGAGTAGAATATAGACCTGTCAATTCAGTGGAATTTAGAAGTCTTTAAGTTTATGCAGCAATTTGGAAAAGAGTTTATAAGAAAATGTGTGGTCTGTGCAGGGGTTACGGATTGAGGAAGAAAACAAAGCTATGTTTACATAATGATTATGTCTAATATAATTAGATATAATTATATCTACATATATACAGGGATAAATATTGAAAAGGAATATATATGAATGGTAGCAAATCCAAATATATTGAGAATAGCTGGTGAGATTTTTTTACTGCCTTCTTGTTATCAGAGATAAAGTAACTTTTCAAAAATGTTCTCTTTTGTTTCCTTAGGGCAAAGCTGTTGGGGTGACTATTGGCTGCATTCTAGGAATGTTTCCTTTGATTTTCTTTGGAGGAGGTGAAGAAGATGAAAAACTGGAAACGAAAAGTTAATCCTCTTAGAATACCGATAAAAAGATGTAAACTAATGTACCTCAGTTATTAAATATGCTGTCACAACATTTAGGAATTAAGACAGTAACACTATAGATATGGGATCAAATAATTTAGCATGTATTATGGAAAACACTAACTTATTGTGGCTTGGTCTTCTTAGGACATCTTTTTAAAAAAAAACCAGTATCATTTTGTGTAAATTGTTGAAATGCTTTTTCATCGATAGCAGTCAACATTTTATCTTTTCTTTTTATATTCATAATGTTATTTAAGTATCAGTCATTGATGTACTGTATTGACTTGGGGTTTGCTTATTTGTTACTTAACATGCGTACATGCATGAAAGCATTTTTGGTTGTTGTTCCCTGGTAGTTACATTTCAATCTTGAGATTTTTCCAAATTACTTAAGATGTTTAATATCAGTTAAAGGTTTTTTTTACCCTCTTTTTGGCAACATCAATTTTGTACTGTTATGCAGTAAACATTTATAATCATATAATTTCAGTCATTTTCTTGACTCTCACATCTATTGAAAATGGATATGGATACAGATTTTAAGTATTTTAAGTATATAGCACTTATTTTAATTTTCTGACTTTACTATTTTAAGAGCCAGAGGTTAAGAAGAAAGAGCAATTATGTGGTCTCCCTGCTGCATATAACCGTATATACTAACAAGCGTACTATTTTTAATTGATTTTTTTTTAACCTTTAGTTTCCCAGTTTTGAATAATTACATGGTGGGTTCTGACTTTTGAGGGGAAGAAAATGATTATTTTAGAGTCTTTGAAATGGGGATTGTGGAATTAAATTGAACTAAGGGATTCAATATGATGCTTGAAAATTAAAAGGCTAAAGGCTTTTTTTAAAAGAAAATGTCGAAAATAGGAACTGTCAATAAGGTTTATGTTATAAATGGTGAAGTTGAAATGATGTTTGGAAGGTTAATGAGATAACAAATTATATTATTTGGGAAGGCTTCTTTTTTTTCCCCCAAATATGACATCATCTCATCTGAATGGAATGAATCTGAATATTCCATACTCATACTCCTAATCTCATTGTAGCTTACTTAGTGAATTTTATTTATGAATAATTTCTTTTGAAGTGAAAATTAGATATTTAATATTTTGCTTTTTTGCTAGTCTACTCAAAAATTACATGAAGAGAAATCCTTCCTCCCTGTTTTTCTTTTTTCTTCTTTTGTGGTATTTAAAGAATATTTTAGATTGAAGTTACTTATTTCTAGTTTTGTATATCTGACTTAAATAACCATGTAAGAATTATAAATTTTAGTTTTCGGAACCCTTAAACTTTTTAGCATGAGGTCTGTTACACATGCTAAAAAATTATTCTTACTTGTAACAGTGTAAATACATCATGGAGGAGAGAAACTTAAAATAATGTTTTGGCTATTTAAGTTATTTGTGTTGCTAAATAGATGCAGAGGATTTACAGCAATTTTATTTTGAGGTTTTATTTATACATAATTACTTTGAACTCTTAAGAGGAGGTTTTTTTTTTCATGAGGCAATTTGTCATAAATTTTCTCATGCACTTCAGAATGAATAAGTGCTATCCTTTAATCATAGCCTTTGGGGGAGAAAGCATAAAAACATAGCATATAATCAAAATATAAGTATATGACATGCACAAATATAACATTCTTATTGAATCAAATCATATTTCTAGAACTTGCGATCTTAAATAGAGTTTTGTTTTGTATCTTCCATATAATGTCACACACAGATAACCAGACAAAAAATCCTTTGTAAAATTTCAGATTCATAGCATTAGAGTACCTATATTTTGGGCAGTGGGGAGGTAAACTGTAGGTGCTTTCTTTTGTCCCTAACTTGTATATTGATGGCAGTCCATTCTGTTTTCCAAAAATGTATGTGGTGCTTTACTTCTTATTAATTAAATCCCATATTAGAAACCTTGCCTGTGAGTTTAGAAAGGGCTTTTGATGATTGTTTTTTCTTTTTGCTCTTGAAAATAATCCAGTCCTAGGGAATTATTGGTTTAATGGAACATCTGCAGAATTACTTAAGGTGTCAAAATATATAGCCTTCACATTGAAAGATGATTTTAATTTATGGGCATAATGAAAATTTGAATCAGGTAATTAAATTTCAAAAAATGGAGACCATTGGTCTTTAACTGAAGGGTATATGTTTTTTAAGATCATAGTCTACACTAGCACGTGCATTGCACGGAGTGCTTTCTGAAGAATGGTTCTTTTTAAGATAATGACTTCATATGATTATTGCTTCATGTTATTTGCCACAAAGAACTTTAATTCAGGTTTAAACTGGAACTGTTTGTTTCTCATATTAGCTACTTCTCTATTAGGAGCACATGAACTATAGTTAAATGCAACATGAGCTACTTTAGTACTGTTTGTTTGAAATTTATGTTGTCCATGTATTATGATTTATGAACTTGTTGATGCATGTAAATTGGGTGCATTTTGTTGCCATGTACGTTAAATGGTGACCAATGTTTTTACAAAGGAATTGAACAAAAAAGTATCTTTTAAGAAATTTGGAATGTGGTTTTGATTTAGAAATTTGATTTCTTACTAATCTCAGAGGGCCTTGGTATGTTCTGTTACTATAGCAAACAGGATTAATGAATACAGATTTGTTACAAGATGGCAGCAATGTCACTGAGACAGTGACAACAATTTACCACCTCCCTAGAATCTGCACTTGCGATACAACATTACAGAGTATAAGTGATGAGTGATCCCATAGAAAATCTTTAGATAGAGTAGCATAAGTCACACTGATGGGTATTTACAGCAGAGATATGCAAGCTGTTTGTGTAATAATGCCTCATTTACTTTATTCTTTTCTCTAGAACATAAATTTTGAAGGTAATGGAAGTTTATCTTTTATACCAAAAGTTTGTATGAGCCATTTCAAAGTAAATCTTTCTAATTTCAGAATCATATTTCTCACCATCTTAAGACAGTATATTAAATATAATATAATCTTTTACTTAGTGGCTAAGCATTATCTTTATGTACATCATTATTGTGTGGTAATGAGTACCTTAAGAATCTAGATTTTATGGTTTTCCATTTTTTTTTCTGCTTTTCTGGCAACTGTTTTATCTCTCTAATCTGCTTTTTTTCTCAGTTGTCTGGACTTAGAAACTAGGTAGCCTATTTTACCATAAATTATTTGGGAAATACTAAAAAATTGTCTTTGGATCCTGACTGAGATGATGATGATGATGATGATGATGATGATGATGATGAAATTGGCTTTGGATCCTGACTGAGATGATGATGATGATGATGATGATGATGATGATGAAATTGGCTTTGGATCCTGACCGAGATGATTATGATGATGATGATGATGATGATGATGAAATTGGCTTTGGATCCTGACTGAGATGATGATGATGATCATGATGATGGTGATGATGATGATAGTAGTAGTAGTAGTAGTAGTAGTAATAGCTCCCTTTTATTAAACATTTATTGCTTTATTCACTAGTAATTACATGCATTATTGCATTTAATCACCTTAATGACAACATTAAGTTGGGGCCATTATCATTATCATCTCTATTTTCTAGTAGCTAAATTGAGGCATGAAGAGGTTAGTTTGCCAATGATAGCACTATGAATAAGTGGACTGGAATCCTATTTTGTTCAAGTATGAAGCCTGCTTTCTTAACTGCTAGGCAGTGGGGACATCAGTTGCATAGACTTTATAATGTCTTTTCTTTGCCTAGGTTCCTTTTTACCTCCAGATTCATAGAGTCATTTTCTTATCTATAAGAGTATTGTACTTATAATCTCAAGATTTATTTTAGAAATCCTGTGTTCTTTATTGCATACTATGTGCTAGGAACCATTCAAGGCACTGAGTGAACAACCAGAACATCTGTACCCTCATGAAGCTTATTCTTTGGTGGGATAGTGATGGGGAAGAGAACACAGAAAAGCAAATATACTTTTTTTTTTTTTTTTTTGAGATGGAGTCTTCCTCTCACCCAGGCTGGAGTGTAGTGGCATGATCTTGGCTCACTGCAGCCTCGACTTCCTGGGTTCAAGTGATTCTCCTGCCTTAGCCTCCTGAGTAGATGGGATTATAGGTGCATGCCGCCATGCCGGTCTAATTTTTTTGTCTTTTTAGTAGAGACAGGGTTTCACCATGTTGGCCAGGCCTGTCTCAAAACTCCTGACCTCAAGTGGTCCATCCATTTCGGCCTCCCAAAGTGCTGGGATTACAGGTGTGAGCCACTGCGCCCGGCCCACAGATACACACTTAAATATTATTTATGTCAGACGGTGATAAGTTCTATACAGATAAATGAAACAAGATAAAGAGGATAGAAAGTACCAGTGGTCATAAGTGAAGATGATCAGTGAAGACCTGAAAGAAGTGAAGGCACAAACAGTACAGATATTCTGTGAAGAGAAAGTACGAGGCTAGGTGCTAGAAAGTTGGTATTAAGAAAATCTCAGATACTTGAAATATGTTCCACTTTGACATGCATTGTAAAATGTTTTCTTTTTGTTTCATATTAGTAATGTCTGGATTAAGTCTAAAGAGTAACACTTAAATATTAATACTTACTCCTTGCATGTTTACTGACAGCAGTAGATGGAAATGGCACAGAAGCATGGGGGAAGCAAACTTAGAATTCAGTAGTCTGTGGATACTCCATCAGCAAGTCATTTTTAGTTGACTCCCGAACAATGCGGGGATTAGGGACACCAACCCCCTGTGCGATTGAAAATCTGAATACAACTTTTGACTCTTCCCCAAACTTTACTGATAGCCTACCGTTGACTGGAAGCCTGTCTGATAACATAAACAGTAGATTAACACATATTTTGTATGTTATACGTATCGTATAATGTATTCTTATACTAAAGCAACCTAGAAGAAAGAAAATGTTATGAAAATCATCAGGAAGAGAAAATGCATTTATTATTCACTAAGTGGAAATGGATCATCATAAAAATCTTCATCCTCCTTGTCTTCATGTTGAGTAGGCTGAGGTGGAGGAGGAAGAGGAAGGATTGGTCTTGCTTATTGGTAGCAGAGGTGGAAGGGGAAGCAGGAAAGGCAGGCACACTAGGTATAACCAGGAAAATGCACTGTAACTTTTGATGTTTTGCTTTTTTACATTTCTCTAAAAATTGTTTGTGTGTGTGTGTGTGTGTGTGTGTGTGTGTGTGTGTAAAATCCTTCTTCCACCATTTGCTTTAGTTTCAGTGCTTGTATGGTAGAAGGATCTATGTTGTAAAATCAGTCTTGAATAATCACAACACTTCTACCAGGTTTTCTAATGTCGATTTGTTTTCTGGCACTGCTTCCAAATGTCTTCCTCATTGTCTGGCACTGATTTGGAGGCATTTATCTCTAAAAGCTAAGCTTTGAATAGCTCAGCTTTAGATTCACTCCAGGATTCAGATCTTGAAGATTTTACCCTCCACGTTTTTTTTTTTAAACATATCTACAACCTCTTTCTTGATTTTCTTGATTCTGTGAATTCACACACAATATCTGGATTGTTTTCCTCATCAGGAATTTGTTGTTTTGGACTTGACGGCTTTCATGGCTTCTGCAGCAATAATGGCATCATCAGTGGTGGAATCCTTCCAGACTTTGATGATGTTCTCTTTGTTAAAGCTCTCTTGTGTAGCACTGATGGTTCTTTCCATAGCGTACTGTGTGTAATGAGCCATCAAGGTCCTATGACTCCCTGATCTAGAAGCTAAATTAGAGACATTCTGTTTGGGGGCAAATAGATCATGCCAATGCCTTTAGTGTTGAACTCACGCGGTTCTGGGTGGGTGGCCAGGGGCACTGTCCAGTATCAAAAGAACTTTAAAAGGCAGTCTCTTACTGGCAGGGTACTTTCTGACTTCAAAGACAGAACATGGATGAAGCCAATCCAGAAAAAGGGTTCTTGTCCAAGCCTTCTTGTTATACTGCTAGAAGACTGGCAGCTGGTGTTTATGTTTTCCCTTCAAAACTTGGGCATTAACAACTTTATAGATAAGTGCAGTCTTGACCATAAACCCAGTAGCATTTGCAAAAAAACCCAGTAGCATTAGCCTGTCCCTTTCTGCCTTAAATCCTGATGCTCACTTCTCTTCTTTACTAATAAATGTTCTTTGTGGCTTCCCCCCAACCCCCAGAATAGGGCACTTTTGTCTGCCTTAAGAATCTGTTCCGGTAGATAATCCTGTCTCCTCACCGATTTTCTTAATGGCATCTGCAAACTCATCTGCTGCCTCTTGGTAGACGGGAGCTGCTGCTTCTGTTATCTTAACATTTTTAAAGCCAAACTTCTTTCTAATATTATCAAGCCATCCTTTGCTGGCATAAATTCTCTGGATTTAGATACTTCACCTTCTTTTGCTTTAAGTTGTCATAAGATGACTTTGCCTTTTCTCAAATCATATTACAGCCTCTAGGTACATCTTTCTTATGGCAATATGGCACCCACATAAAAGCTGCGTTTTCAGTGTGAGATAAAAAGGTATATCACAAAAAGTGCAAGGTTAGCTGGTATAGGTACAGTAAAGGCTTCCTAAATTTTCTTCTTATTTTTTTTTTTAACAGTGGTACTTATGCTGGATTCATTTATCTTGAAGAATAGGCAACTACAACCACAGACCAGTACACATCAAGCAATTTAACTTTTTCTTGTAATGTCATGACTTTGCTTCTTGGGAGCACTTCCAGCATCACTAGTGGGACTTTATATGGGTCCCATGGTATTCTTGCAAGGTTTATGATTGTACTAAACATGATGAAAAATAACTGAGAACCATGAGAGATCACTTATTGCAATGATACACAATTTACTGGAGAGATGAACTGCTCATGTGGATATGATAAACATCACATGGCATTTTAAATGTCCATGTGTACATTTTAAACGGATACTCATAGCACTTGAGATCACAGCAATAGCAACAGGAGGTAGCTCTGAAATTATGGTAGTAGTACAGTATGTCCTATGGTTTATCTTATGCAGTTGTAATTTAGTAATGCATCTTTATGTCTGTCTCAACTGCAAATGGCTCCAATATATAGTCTGTGTATGTGTAAGTTTTGATAAATTTAACTTTTTTTTTTTTTTTTTTTTGAGATTGAGTCTTGTGTCGCTCAAGCTGGAGTGCAGTGGCATAATCTTAGTGCAGTGTTATAATCTTGGTTCATTGCAACCTCTGCCTCACAGGTTCAAGTGATTCTTATGCTTCAGCCTCCCAAGCAGTTGGGATTACAGGCATGCATCACCATGCCCAGCTAATTTTTGTATTTTTAGTAGTGACAGGGTTTCACCATGTTGGCCAGGCTGGTCTTGAACTCCTGACCTCAGGTGATATGCCTGTCTTGGCCTTCCAAAGTGCTGGGATTACAGGTGTGAGCCACTGCGCCTGGCCAATTTTAAGTTTTTATTATAGATTTGTATATATTTTATGGTAGTAAATGATAAAATAGACTAGTATCTACATATGTTTTATGCATTCATGACATACTTTTTTCTTAGTTTTTCAATATTTCTAA